GCCGAATACGAATACGAATAGTGTATCATCATCATCATCAGGTGCCTTGTCGGCTGGCGTGGGCGATCATGCCTCTTCACAATCTGCTATCTCCTGCAGCATCTATCAGTTCGTGTGCCGACACACCTCCATGCCGTGCAAAAAGACTGTCAAGAATCGTCTATCGTTGTCTTCCTCTGTCCCTCCTTCCACAGATCTTTCCAATGGTCATCAAATGTTCCGTTTTCCATCTTCTCATAACATGGCTGAAAAATGACGACTGTCTCCTTCTGATGTCTGTGATTAGTTGTCTTCGGGCTCTCGCCTCTTTCAAAACCATCGTTCGCTCGGCCGTTCGTTCGATGTAATTTAAACGCACCTTCATATTCTCGTTGGCAATATCTTCAAATCTGATTTGGGCGAAGACACCCTGAAAGAACGAAAAATGCATGATCTATCTCTCTCTCTCTCCCTCTCACACACAGACACACACACTCACACACACTGCGGTTGGCATTTTATGCAGTTTGCACCACGCAACCGGGTCGCAGTTTCACCCGCTACGACAGACTTAGGCAACAGCAACTTTTGTGTTAATGAGAGAGTTATTTCAGTCCATCATAGTGTATGCAGAAACAGGAGTAAGGTAACCACTATTCGTATTCGGCCGAATACCGAATAGTTATTACGACCTCTATTCGGCCCCGAAGCGAATACGAAGCGAATATTCGGTACAGCCCTAGTTATTAGGTCCACTATTCAGCCCTGAAGTGAATACAAAGCGAACATTCGGTACAGCTCTACTTTCTACGTTTAATCTAAACATGCTGGGGGAAGAGGGGGGGGGGGAATAGCTTCCCTCATATTCAGCTTTCTTTGGAAGTAACATATTTGTGATTTTCCTAGTAGTTGTTTAGACCGTTTGGCAACTCCTATGAAACCTTCTGGTACTCAAAAAGCTAAAAGCAGTTCCTCGGCAATTAATGCCCTTTGTGTGTGACGGTTAGATCTTCATTTTCTAGGTAGCGACAGGAAGGATGGGTCAATTTTCTCGTTCACTCCCTTTCCATGCAGTTCAGGGTTTAGTTATAAGCTAAATAAACTACAATATAAAGTCTCACAAACCCATCGTCAGTCACCAGGTCGTTGACAAAACTCTCTAGCCACGGCATGCCTGAAATTCTCTCAGTTTCCAGCCAATTTTACAGCCATGCGTGTTTTCTTAGTCCACGAATCTTCAGTGTCTTGTATTCACCTTCTCCAAAGTCTGTCTGTCTACCTCGTCGGGCCACCATAGCGGTAAAAAGCGAAGAAAAAATGTTTTTTTAAAAAAAAAGGGGGGGGGGGGAGTAATGCAACATCTTTTCTTTCTTTAAAAATTGTTTATTTCCACCAGAAGTTTACTGATCTTATTATTATTATTTTGGGTATATATAACCTCAGACTTTTACTTATTCTCAGTTGTTGAGATTAGCTGGTATAATTTACAACGGTAGGGGCCTTATCTTCCTCTTATTCTTCAGCATCGAAGCCCTTGAGGTTCTTTGCTGCAGATATCACCCGCCTGCATTCATCTCTCTAGTCGGCCTCATGGTTTTTATATATTTTAGAACCTCGTCAAGTTTAAACCCTTTCTGCTCCTATGCTAGAATGAGTGGCACCGTCTTTCCTGACCATATTGTTATATCGTGCTACAAAAGGGCCCATGGCAATGGTGAGTGTGACTAGCAAGACCCGCTCAGATTCCAAAATTAGAGCGAGGAATTTTAGCATCATTTTGGATATGGCCCAAGGGAGCCACATTGAAAGATAAGCTATGGGAGACGTAGCGACCTCAAACGCACAATCCTATTTGTGACCCAGACGGGACTCAATGTTAAGCATGACTGATGTCGAACGCAAAAGAAGAAGAAGAAGCATCATTATTGTTATCGCAACTATAGAACGTGCTTCTTCTTGTGCGCTTTCAACACATATGTAATCATTTTCTTCTTTATTCATATTCCATCCCTGGATTCCTCCATGATTCATGGCCCATGGAATCATATCCCCAAAAAGTCCACTTCTTTGCCTTTATCATTCATGTCCCCATTGCACACGTCTTTATATTATACAATATCTTTTGCCTTTCTGTGATTCACCATGGAAAATGTACGATCCTCCATCCTTCAAGTGTGTCCCATCGAAACACTGAGCACTGAGAAGGGGAAACTGTTCTCCGATGAACCTTCCAATGAAAACATAACCGGGGTTCTCTTTGGCGTAGTGGTCAAGCCGTTTGCCTAGCGCTCTGAGGGTCGTGGTTTCGTTTCACGGCAGCACCTTTTAGTTCACGAGTGCATTTTTTACGGAGATCCCTGGGATCGTTGAAGGAGCTAGGAAGATCGTGCTATGTGCGATGCTCTCGGCAGGCTGTTCTGTGGAGACAGACTGGCCCATACGGGATAAATCCTGGTGCAATAAAGTCGATTATCTCACCTTTACGTCTACCTTTTAAATAGATAACCATAAATTTGTCGCTGATGAGAAAAGACATACAGTAAAATCTCATTATTCTGAATTACAGTGGACACCCCCCCCCCCCCCCCCTTCAATCCCCAAACACGCAATTAAGAGTTTGTGTTTAAAGACTGCGAACAGGGACTAATAGATGTATTGTATTATGAATAAAACATCTCTATAGGGATCAAAATGTTGTTTATGTTAGTCGAGTGTCATGGGCTGAAGATAAACACGTGTGATCAGTGCAAGGGAAGTAATATAATAAAAAAGTGTAACAGGGAAGAGTTATTGAACATACACTTAACAAAAGGGTCTTATTCACGTTTTTCGGCCCATCTCTACACTGTCTCAGACTGGCTACGTGAAAGGGGTGTAACGTTTACTGTTTTCTTCTATAGGACTTTCTCACAGGACTTAGACTGAGGCTGTGGATAGCAGGGTTTGGTTAGGGCCAGTCTTAACTGTTCTGGGGTTGTCGTGTGATACAGAACGTGCGACATCAGCGCTAATGTAACTGGAGGCAAGACAATGTAAACCCCCCCCCCCCACATGTAGACTAGTTGGGGCAAGCATGAATAACAGGTCAACCAGTGTAAAGATGGGGCGGGAAATGTGAATAGGGCCGACAAAAGACATTTTGCAAACTAGTGATAAAAATAGGTTTTGTTGTCCGCCTGGTTTTCAGGGGCCGTCTCCGCAGGCGAGGTTCTATTCATGAGTGACAGATAAAATTGTCTCCTCTTCATGTAGAAAACCCACACATTAGAAAATAAAATACACATAACACATCACTTTGTAACAGGACTTTTGTAGAATGTCACTCTCATCATGGCCGACCTGACAGTCCCTCGCCAGCTCTCTCATCTCATGCCCTGTCCTACTCGAGATGTCGCTCTCATCATGGCCGATCTGAAAGTCTCTGGCCAGATCTCCCATGTCGTCTCCTTTCCTATTCAAGATGTCGCTTTAATGATGTGCCTGTTTTCATGCTGGTCAGTTCTGCCCTTCATTCTGTTATTAATCACACAAGACTGCAGATTCCCCGATTAGAATGAAGTCATGTTTGTTTGCACTTAAACAGACATGTTAACGGTCTCTGCAAGAGGTCTTCATGACCAGGTACTGATCCATTTGCATTACAGTCTGCAGGTAATGGGTTCATTTCTTAGAATATACAATTTGGGGTTAGCAGGTTGAATATTTTTTTTTTAAAATTCAGATCCATGAGGATTGCTATTTTTTGGTCAATATGGTGAATAGGCCAAATTTTTCGACAGGGTTTATAATGGCCATTCAGTGTGGTTCTAACTGACACAGGATCCGAGCAGATACAGGGGTGACCCATCTGTTATGAAGCTGAAACTGCAATAACATGATTGCTGGAGCCAAGGCAGACAACTTGGTGTTTTGGGGAAGAGAGAGACTGTCCAGGGGGATAAAACCCAGTGTTGATCCTCCCGACATTAAAACTTATGAAAAATCTCAGAGGTTGAATTTATTGTGACCAACAAAGTCAAACAGTCCCTCTTCATACATAATGTTGCACATGTGCCTCACCATTGCAGAGAATATTAAACGACAAAAACACATACCTGTTCAAAGAACGTTCATACCTAGTATGGAGAATAGTCTCGCAGATGAAGAATTACCAACCATTTTGTTTTATTTTTATTTATTTCCTCATCTTTCTCTATTGATTTGTTTTATAACTTTCTAATTCATGTGAATTGGTCTATTTACAACATACATAAGTTAAATCTTCAGTATTTTCACATACTCATAACTTTCTTGCTCAGGTAAGTCGGTCTACTTACAAGAAACATAAGTTAAATCTTCAGTACTTCTCCTTCACTTACGACTTATATGACATATGACTATCCACACTTACGACCACAAGAAAAAAAAAAACAATTGACTAAACTTAGTAAATAAAGAATTGGTAGGGCCAAAAGTTAAGCTGAGTTGAGCTGAGTCCAGAACTGACATCACAGCACTCCAGGCATTCTCATACGTGCTCCGTTCTCATCTTCAAAAGCCAGCGCAAAGTTCCAAAACTGATGGTACTGATGGTTATATGTCTGTCTTGCCTTTCCTCTGAGTGTAGTGAGCATGTCAGACCCTCCAGTTACACCCAGGTGACTCATTCTGTCCAGGCCATAATAATTTTGTTTCTCTACTGATTCTGTTGCTTGTTCCCTTAGGGTATTGACCACATCTGGCTAGCCATGTATCACTCCACAACTGCTGGAGCTATGGAACACGTGCTCTGTGCTTGACGTCATCTTCAGAGAGCAGCGAGGGTCAAGAAGTTTATGGACCTAATATAATAAAGTACATTATGTATTATCTACATTATGTACAATAATTATACGTACATTGACTGAATTTTCTGCATTTTATGTACAATTTTTAAACTCGACTTTGACTGGCAACCTGTTAGAACTGAGCTTGCTCTAAGTCCAGGAGACCCTGTACTTCCTCCTCTAGCAGTATGACTGCTGCTAATTTTTTTTTCAACACTACCTGTTTATTTTTCCTCTTTTCTTTCCACCACCCCATCCTCCGCTGATCTCAACAGGTGTGTCTCGATATGAAATCCTGTCTTTCTTGTGGCTGGAAGGGAGAGAGCTTTCATGAATTGGAGGTAAGATAATAGAATGGCCAGCTGAAATGGAAACAAAATGCATTATCTTTAATATGGTTTTAATGTAATAAAGCAGGTTTGTCTCATTTTTAGCATCTTCCCACATCTACAGTTGAATGAGTATGAATGAACTGATGAATTCTTCTTCTTCTTCTTCTTCTTTGTTTTCTTCTTCTTCTTGTTCTTCTTTCTTTTCTTCTTCTTTTTCTTCTTAGCATTCACCAGCAGGAAACTCTGATGAAAAGTCCTGGTTGTTCATCCACTTCTGGGCTGTGGTCTTATTCCAGAACTTAAGTTCTGTGTGCGTATCCATTTTACAGATCAGGCTTATTTGAATTCTGACTATTGGTTCTCCACCCCATGAAGATGTACTCCAACTTCAAAGGAAACACCCCTAATTATTCAACTTTCACGACATGCCTGTTAGAGTGGCAGTGGGTTTATTTTGTTTCTCCTAAAATGGGACCCCAGAATTCACATGGGGGAAATCAAGAACTGACATCACTGCACTTTGCATATTTTCCCCTGCCCACCCTCACCACCCCCTCCCTCCCTCCAGCAGCCAGCGAAGAGTTACCATACTGATGTTGTTAATAGCAACCTGAATAAAAGTTGGCCTGTTATTTCTCATGTGGGTAAAAAATCATCCAGACCCTCTCCTCACTCCCAGCTGAATCCTTCTCTCCCGATATGGATACTCTTCCCACTTTACCACCCATCAAAAATCTGCCATTACTACTTCCAACAATTTGTTGTCTTAGATCAGTGTTAGCAAAACTGTGCGCCGCGGCACCCTGGAAAGCCAGGACCTCTTCACAGGGGCTCAGCAAAGTTTTCGAAAATACACAAGTTTTTTTAAATTTTTGTTTTATTTCTTACGTATGACTAGTCATACTTTTACTTAGGTTAGGGCGCTGTGGAAAAGTTTTCATTGAAAAAAGGCGCCATGACTACAACAAGTTTGGGAAACACTGTCTTAGAAGATGTGAAATTTAACCAAAAATATTGATACGCATTTCTGTCTATATATTTGTGAACATTAAATGAGATGAAATCAAAACAGGTGAAGACATAAGAGTCTGGATGCCAGATTTTATCAGCAGTTATCAGACACAGAAGATGGTGATCTGCTGGACACAGAAGATGGTGATCTGCTGAACACAGAAGATGGTGATCTGCTGGACACAGAAGATGGTGATATGCTGAACACAGAAGATGGTGATCTGCTGGACACAGAAGATGGTGATCTGCTGGACACAGAAGATGGTGATCTGCTGGACACAGAAGATGGTGATCTGCTGGACACAGAAGATGGTGATCTGCTGGACACAGAAGATGGTGATCTGCTGGACACAGAAGATGGTGATCTGCTGGACACAGAAGATGGTGATCTGCTGGACACAGAAGATGGTGATCTGCTGGACACAGAAGATGGTGATCTGCTGGACACAGAAGATGGTGATCTGCTGGACACAGAAGATGGTGATCTGCTGGACACAGAAGATGGTGATCTGCTGGACACAGAAGATGGTGATCTGCTGGACACAGAAGATGGTGATCTGCTGGACACAGAAGATGGTGATCTGCTGGACACAGCAGGAGGAGAAACAAAGAATCACCCAACAGGAACTCAAATGGAAACAGAAACAGACTGAAAAAATTAGGGTGTTCGAAAGAAACCCTTAGATGAATGTTACTGAGAGAGGTCAAGGGCTCTGGACTAGATTCTACCCATTTTATCAAAAGAATTGCACAGAATAGAAGGGAATGGAGGGCTAGACCAAGACCGTCTACATCTGACAGGCCATGCTGCTGACATCATCAAACAGGGCTAACGATACATTAAGTTTTCACTCTGACTGTCCCATTTTTCAGTGTTTCCTGCCGTCCCCAACAAATATTCTAGGAATAAGCTTGAGATTTAAACATATATATAGTTACACACAATACAACAACAAGAAACATAAAGTACAAAGTTTCTTGTCCGCAAACATCACTAAAAATTGCTTATGCATTTTGTTTCATGCAGTTTACACGTGTATTTCAGTGATAAAATATGTGGTGTCTGTGCTGAGGGTTGTTCTAAAGTAAACATTGCTTCCAAAGCGCTGCCATCTCAGGCAAATGTTTTTCTGAATAACAACAGGAAAGTCCAAAATGATACATGCTTGCTGGATAAATATCCAAGAAAAGAAAACTGTCAAAGTTCACTCAATAATTTAAATTACAGAGGATTATGCAACTACATTATGGGACACACTGCAGCTAAAAGTAGTAAGTAGTTTCTATTTCTTCGGTTGGTGCTGCTGTTATTGCCAATACCCTATTGTTTTTTACTCAGTTTCTTGATCCGTTTCATTTAGTAATTTATTGTAAAGATCTTGAGGAGTATTTTAGTTATATGGTTCACAGAGTGAATAGTTCTCTAATCTACACACTCAACAACTCTCGGTTCCTTGGGCAATGTGATGAAAATAGATGTTTTGAAAGTGTCCAGTGTTATACATTTCATTACATATTTCTGTGAGTGAAAGACATAAACAAGACTCAAACACAAATCAAGAAAGGGGACATACGTAGAGTCTCTTCACTAGAATATCTCCTGACTTGCTGGGCATCCCTGACAACTGACTTGTGAGAGTCAGACAGAGGACTGGACTGGAAATGCATGAATTTAATCATGTGGTAAGTCGTATGAAACAGTTATGTGAAATAATCATGTCCTATAATCATGTGATTAGTCATGTGAAACAATCATGTCCTATAATCAAGTGATTAGTCATGTGAAACAGTCATGTGATATAATCAAGTGATTAGTCATGTGAAACAGTCATGTGATATAATCAAGTGACTAGTCATGTGATATAACCCTGTAAATACCTAAATAATATTGTTATGAGCTCTTTTAAGCCAACAAACACTGAAATAACATCTGAGCATGAAAGAAAGGAAGGAAGGAAGAAAAAAAGAAAGAAAGAAAGAAAGAAAGAAAGAAAGAAAGAAAGAAAGAAAGAAAGAAAGAAAGAAAGAAAGAAAGAAAGAAAGAAAGAAAGAAAGAAAGAAAGAAAGAAAGAAAGAAAGAAAGAAAGAAAGAAAGAAAGAAAGAAAGAAAGAAAGAAAGAAAGAAAGAAAGAAAGAAAGAAAGAAAGAAAGAAAGAAAGAAAGAAAGAAAGAAAGAAAGAAAGAAAGAAAGAAAGAAAGAAAGAAAGAAAGAAAGAAAGAAAGAAAATTTCCTAAAGTTTCCAGAAAGAATTTATAGACAGAAAGATTACAGAGTTCCTCAAAAATAAAGACAACTAACAAAAGAACCAATGGAATTAAAGTATCAGTTGTTCGGAAAGTGAAACAGCATACTTAACACAATCAAATAACACTAAAATACAATGAATTAATTTAACACAATTAACAATACAACTGATCAAACCCTGTGGTGAAGTTGAACTCACCTTTCTAGAATGGGCATATCCAACAGCATTACGTCTGCTGGAAGCATTGTCCTGATTCAAATAGCCTGAACTCAGCCTAAAATTCATTCAAATAACAAACTTTGAAATTACAGCTATGAATAAAGACATTAACTCTTAACTGACAGGAAATAAATGGTTGGAAGCCCATATATTTAAGTATTTGAGATGAAAGCCAGTATTTAGGAACTATATATCCAAAAGTTTCTGATGTGAGTGAGTATTTTGGGACCATATATCCAGTTGTTTGTGATAAGAGCCAGTATTTGGGGCCCCTACATCTTGAGGTTATTGATAGAAGCTGGAATTCTTCCTGGGCCATGTACTCTGAGAATCTGTTTATAGCATTTCAAATCAAAAGCCTCCACTTTCTTCCTTAACAACTGTGAGATAGTCCACAACTCAGATCTGTATATAGCCACAGGAAAGATGCATGCTCTCACAATGTTTATGATATCATCGTCATCATGTGCCGTCATGTTTTGCCATCTCACATGATTACCAGTGTTATGGATCAGTTCAATGTTTTTATCTCACCCCATCCATCTGGCCATGCCATCCATGTATTTATCTCTTTCCTTCCTCTTGCTCTCTTCCTATCAAACTTGCCAGTTACCACATTTTTCGGGTTATTTCTTTTCCTATGTCCAAAAACATTAACTGATATTCTTTGCATTCTTCTCAGAAACAATATCTCTGATGAGAGCAACTGTTTTTCTGCTTTTCTGTTTCTTGTTCATGTTTCACATGCATACAGAAACAATATCTCTGATGAGAGCAACTGTTTTTCTGCTTTTCTGTTTCTTGTTCATGTTTCACATGCATACAGAAACAATATCTCTGATGAGAGCAACTGTTTTTTCTGCTTTTCTGTTTCTTGTTCATGTTTCACATGCATACAGAAACAATATCTCTGATGAGAGCAACTGTTTTTCTGCTTTTCTGTTTCTTGTTCATGTTTCACATGCATACAGAAACAATATCTCTGATGAGAGCAACTGTTTTTCTGCTTTTCTGTTTCTTGTTCATGTTTCACATGCATACAGAAACAATATCTCTGATGAGAGCAACTGTTTTTCTGCTTTTCTGTTTCTTGTTCATGTTTCACATACATACAGAAACAATATCTCTGATGAGAGCAACTGTTTTTCTGCTTTTCTGTTTCTTGTTCATGTTTCACATGCATACAGAAACAATATCTCTGATGAGAGCAACTGTTGTTCTGCTTTTCTGTTTCTTGTTCATGTTTCACATGCATACAGAAACAATATCTCTGATGAGAGCAACTGTTGTTCTGCTTTTCTGTTTCTTGTTCATGTTTCACATGCATACAGAAACAATATCTCTGATGAGAGCAACTGTTTTTCTGCTTTTCTGTTTCTTGTTCATGTTTCACATGCATACAGAAACAATATCTCTGATGAGAGCAACTGTTTTTCTGCTTTTCTGTTTCTTGTTCATGTTTCACATGCATACAGAAACAATATCTCTGATGAGAGCAACTGTTGTTCTGCTTTTCTGTTTCTTGTTCATGTTTCACATGCATACAGAAACAATATCTCTGATGAGAGCAACTGTTGTTCTGCTTTTCTGTTTCTTGTTCATGTTTCACATGCATACAGAAACAATATCTCTGATGAGAGCAACTGTTGTTCTGCTTTTCTGTTTCTTGTTCATGTTTCACATGCATACAGAAACAATATCTCTGATGAGAGCAACTGTTTTTTTTTGCTTTTCTGTTTCTTGTTCATGTTTCACATGCATACAGAAACAATATCTCTGATGAGAGCAACTGTTGTTCTGCTTTTCTGTTTCTTGTTCATGTTTCACATGCATACAGAAACAATATCTCTGATGAGAGCAACTGTTGTTCTGCTTTTCTGTTTCTTGTTCATGTTTCACATGCATACAGAAACAATATCTCTGATGAGAGCAACTGTTGTTCTGCTTTTCTGTTTCTTGTTCATGTTTCACATGCATACAGAAACAATATCTCTGATGAGAGCAACTGTTGTTCTGCTTTTCTGTTTCTTGTTCATGTTTCACATGCATACAGAAACAATATCTCTGATGAGAGCAACTGTTTTTCTGCTTTTCTGTTTCTTGTTCATGTTTCACATGCATACAGAAACAATATCTCTGATGAGAGCAACTGTTTTTCTGCTTTTCTGTTTCTTGTTCATGTTTCACATGCATACAGAAACAATATCTCTGATGAGAGCAACTGTTGTTCTGCTTTTCTGTTTCTTGTTCTTGTTTCACATGCATACAGAAACAATATCTCTGATGAGAGCAACTGTTTTTCTGCTTTTCTGTTTCTTGTTCATGTTTTCACATGCATACAGAAACAATATCTCTGATGAGAGCAACTGTTGTTCTGCTTTTCTGTTTCTTGTTCATGTTTCACATGCATACAGAAACAATATCTCTGATGAGAGCAACTGTTTTTTTTGCTTTTCTGTTTCTTGTTCATGTTTCACATGCATACAGAAACAATATCTCTGATGAGAGCAACTGTTGTTCTGCTTTTCTGTTTCTTGTTCATGTTTCACATGCATACAGAAACAATATCTCTGATGAGAGCAACTGTTGTTCTGCTTTTCTGTTTCTTGTTCATGTTTCACATGCATACAGAAACAATATCTCTGATGAGAGCAACTGTTGTTCTGCTTTTCTGTTTCTTGTTCATGTTTCACATGCATACAGAAACAATATCTCTGATGAGAGCAACTGTTGTTCTGCTTTTCTGTTTTTCTTGTTCATGTTTCACATGCATACAGAAACAATATCTCTGATGAGAGCAACTGTTGTTCTGCTTTTCTGTTTCTTGTTCATGTTTCACATGCATACAGAAACAATATCTCTGATGAGAGCAACTGTTTTTTTCTGCTTTTCTGTTTCTTGTTCATGTTTCACATGCATACAGAAACAATATCTCTGATGAGAGCAACTGTTTTTCTGCTTTTCTGTTTCTTGTTCATGTTTCACATGCATACAGAAACAATATCTCTGATGAGAGCAACTGTTGTTCTGCTTTTCTGTTTCTTGTTCTTGTTTCACATGCATACAGAAACAATATCTCTGATGAGAGCAACTGTTTTTCTGCTTTTCTGTTTCTTGTTCATGTTTCACATGCATACAGAAACAATATCTCTGATGAGAGCAACTGTTTTTCTGCTTTTCTGTTTCTTGTTCATGTTTCACATGCATACAGAAACACAGCTTCTACATAATATTGTAACACTCTTTGTCTCACAGCAAATGACATCAGATTAGTAAGAATCTTTTGCATGTTGCTAAAGGTCACTTTTACCATGGTGATTCTTGTTCTAATTTCCTCAAGGCATCTTGCATCAGATGTTATGACCGTTCCTAAATAGTTGTATTAGTTAGCTTGCTTAAGAATTTTGCTATCTATGCCATAAAGTGTTTGAATAATGCCTACCCATGGCTTGAATAGCTCAGATTTAACTCATTCAAAGCTTAGGGAGAGTTGTGAATAGCACACTTGCCTTCTTGCCCTTAGGTCATGTTGTCAAAGCCCCAAATGAAGTGAGGATATTTCATAAAAAACTGGCCTAATAATGAGTATCAGGAATTGTTCAGGGAAATAAAGGCAGCCAGCATGATACTAACCATATCACCCACTGAGGCTAGGTTTGTCTATATGCCCTATTGCACAATGGTATATTATCGTTGGGAAAGCCAGAAAGATGCCAACATTTTAAAAACCAAAACCTATGATAACAAATGAAAAGGGGAGGTCAGTTTCTTCAATCTTGGTTATGTAACAACAAATGACAACAGGTATGGTTAGTCACAGGGCTAGCCAAGTGGGTTAGTCACAGGGCTAGCCAAGTGTCAGTACTCACCACAAAGTGTTTGAAAAAGGTGTCAGCATGCATCACAAAGTGTCTATCACAGTAGTGCTGAAATAAAATTATGCCTAAACAAGGTGCTGGTGTTGCATACCACTGCGTACCACCAGAAAAAAAGCCCTGATTAGAAATATACCTATTATTCTTCAAGATGTGGCTTGATCTAAGTTACTATTAACCAGAGTAACGTACCCTGGATTTAACCTTGAACTTGCTGTATGGTGGTCTCCAACTTGAGTGTGCAGCCACTCAAACATCCGACGGGCACGTGTGCTGTCTTCTGTCTGTTTTTCCAGTTCTTGTCTGTGAAATTCCTCTTCTCTCGCTAAACGCATAAGAAATCAGATCAAGTGTTAATATGGCTAGGTTCATATGTGTATTAAACAGCAACGACAAGACATATAGCTAGCTTTTTTTTCTAAATAATCTTCAGATGATGCTATCTTTATCACCTCTTTGTGAACAAAAACCAATATGGCTAATAGTATATTGTAAACCAGTTCTTTTTTTTTTCATCTCTGTCCTTTCTTCTTCTTCTTCTTCTGCCCTTTATCCCCCCCCCCCCCCAATGGACCACATGCTCCTAGTCAACTCCAGCCAAGTCATCCTATCCTTTGCTACTGCATGCAGCTCACTCCATGTCCTCCCTACCCTTTTAACTTCACTCTCTAGCTCCCATCTCCATGTGTGTTGTTTTAATCTGCCCTTACTTCTAAGCCTGTATGGGTTCCAGAGCAAAGACATTCTTGTTATATTGTTATGTTTTGTGAGTGTGTGTCCTATCCACTGCAAGCATCTTTTCTCTTTATGACTTTTCCATGGTTGGTTGGTTTTACAGATAGTACCCATGCATACTGTGTGGGTTCCAGGGTCCCATTTTGGAGAACAGAGAATAGACCCAATGCCCCCAATAAGCATGTCATTGAAAGCATCTAATTAGGGTGATATATGTTATGATATCACAATCTATGTCTTTGCACACTGGGAACCTCCATGCACGATCAGTCCTCTGATGCAGCAGCCACTCCAAGGTAACTCTACTAACTGTTCCCATGAAAAGCTGGTTATAGTATCTCCTGTCTTTACCTCGAAGACGAGACATAAACATGCTTCACCAAGCTTAACTCCTCGGTCACGCAGTCGTGTTAGTGTCAGAGATTTGCCGTTATTCACCAACCTAGCCCGTACAGCGTTGATGATATCAGCTCTGTCCATGCTTCTTTCCGTTTGCATTAGTGCATTACTTCCCAGCCGATCAGCTCTTTCATTACCAAGTACTTCTGAGTACCCAGGTAGGTAGATCTAGATGATAGAGGTTAATTGCGACTTTTAAATGCTTTCTAGCCATTCGGAGCATAAATTTGTAGCGATTTTCTGAAACATGTTCATAATAGAGTCTAAAACAATTACCGCATGTGTGGTCGCTTCTTCTTCTACCCATGCCTTGCTCCGGAAGCAGCAATTATCTCCATGGTCATGCTTGACGTAGTTGTCTGGTAAGCACCACTATCCTCTTTTATTGTCTTCGCAATCATTTGTGTTGTGTATGCCCATGCGGATCCTGATCCGTGTTTCACGGACCCATCTGTGTAAAAGATTACGTCTTTGTGCTGATCAATCAGTGCTCTAATCTCGGCATCTACGGTGGCAGGTAACGGACTCCTGCAATACCTCCCCAGTGTTAATGCAACCTTAGGCAAGTCATGCATGTCTACTGGTGTATCCGTTCATTCTTTTCCATGACTGATCTTGTCTAGGTCACATACTCACTTCATTAGATGTTCTGCCTCGGCCATCCAACAGGAGCCTTTTTTGAGACGCATCAATTTAAAAATCACTGATAGAGTTAAGCAGTGAGTGGTTAATATCTGCTGATATCCTCATGTACGCTTTCAAATGTGCCACTTTATGTCTGGTGGCCATCGTCGGTAAATCCAGGACATATCGCATGGCGTGGCACGAGGTGTAACTTGTGCAGCCTAGTATGAGTCTCATGGCCTCATTTTGTACCCGGTCCAGTCTTTCTAGCTGGGTTCTGCTGCCAGTGAGGAGGCCCAGATCGTAGTCTACAACACCTCAGGTGTTTCTTTAAAATTGGAGTGCATCTGCCTGAGAGCCAAGGAACCAAAAAAAGCCAGATCTGTAAAATGGATGTTCATGCAAAACACAAGTTTGGGATCAAGACCAAAGTCCGAGAAAACAAACTAGCAGAACTTTCTGCTAGAGTTTACAGCCAGTGAACACTAAGAAAAAGAAGAAATACCCATGCCAAATTAGCAAAATGCTAAATAAGTGTTTTTTAAACAATAGAAACTTACCTCTAAAATATTCTTTCCGTGGCAGAATTTTTGCAGATGGAGGTCTTGTGGATTTGACTCGATACTTTTCCTCCAACTTCTTTAGCAGATGAAGTTTTTGTTGAGGATCTGAAGGAAAAGAACATTTTCACAGCTTCTTGACTGAACTTGAAAGCAAGCCATAGTAGTCAAGGAGTTTGTTAAATAGGGGAGTGATGTGAAATAGGAAAATTAGAAAAAATTTAAAGTATTTTAGTAGAAACCAACAATCTCTTAATCAGAGAGGTCAGGGAATGATGTGATATAGTAGTAATTTAGAGAGAGAAAACCATATCCTGTTCAACTCATCCAGGTAACAAATTAGATATATATATAGTGTTTATTGTGTTTGAATATTGGATAGTTATGCTTGTCCATTACTTTTAGTGATTTAATATTGCACAGATTATGTATTAACTGTAGGAGTATAGGTTACTATGTTTAATATATAATTACTGCACTTTTTGGGTCTTTTCGCAATCTTGTCCGCACAGCAAGATTTCCTTCCTCTCCCATTCATGCTGCAGCAGTCAAACAGCCTGTCCTATGTTGTGGGGGTGTTATGAGATGTTTTTGTTCAGCGTTCAACTCATCACGGCATATGGTGTTTGTGGGAGGTTGTGTTACTATGATCTCTTTGAGGACACCACAGGCGCTAGTGTACAAGTAAGAAGTACTGCAGAGAGAAGTGCCAGAGGCACGACTGTTCGTGAGTATCAAAACTGGGATGTTTCCATATTTCTACCTTTCTTGATGGTGGCTTCCCCCCCAGAAAAAAAAAAACACCACTGACAAGGAATGTAGAAATACAGAAACAACCCAGTTTCGATACTCATAAACCATCAGGCAAGTAGCACAATGTGGAAATAATCACAGAATTAAGCACTGACAATACGAGAAAAGAGACAAGGGTTAAACCATTAAAAATAAGGAGTACATGACACTCCCACAATGTAGGAGAGGTCATGCGACCGGCCGTAGCATGAATGGGAGGGAAGGGAACTCTCGCCGTGTGGGCAAGTTTGCAATAAGTACCCACTTTTTTAATAACTGGGGTAATCAATTTATGTAATTCACATTTTTTTTAAATGTAATTACCCCTTTACCTGGCTTTTGTACATGAGCATATAGTGCTAGCCGTACATTTTTATAGACCAAAAGCACTCAATGGATGATGTCAGCATCATGCTGGCCACTTATACTTTCCCAGAGCATAACATGGTCCCCATTTTTGGCTGGTTTCAACTGGGAGCCAAGGTCAAATTAGAAAAATTTTCTGCTTTGATGTGGATTTGAACCCTAGACCTTTGGGTCGACAGGTGAACTGCCGGGCACTAAGTACCACAGCTTCTATAGGATTGCCAGATACTTCATTTTCCTAACATTCCTCTGGTATTTGTTTTTTCTCCAAATTTTGCTCCTAAGAGGGAATTTTAGTATGTTTATTATGTATCTTTTATAGTCTACTTGGAGGAGAAAATGATGTTATAAACAAAAAAGTCTTCATTATGCTTCTTTATTTTATAAAACCTGGCAACCCTAATCTAATCTCTATTTGTGGAAATATTTAAAGTGCAAACCTCAATGCAATGTAATCTCTGTTTGTGGAAATATTTAAAATGCAAACCACAATGCAATGTAATCTCTGTGTATGGAAATATTTAAAGTGCAAACCACAATGCAATGTAATCTCTGTTTGTGGAAATATTTAAAGTGCAAACCACAATACAATGTAATCTCTGTGTGTGGAAATATTTTATGTGCAAACCACAATGCAATGTAATCTCTGTTTGTGGAAATATTTAAAGTGCAAACCACAATGCAATGTAATCCCTGTTTGTGGAAATTTTTAAAGTGCATGCAACTTTGTGGAAACAATGCAATGTAATCTCTGTTTGTGGAAATTAAAGTGCATTTTATGTGCAAACCACAATGCAATGTGCAATCTCTTTGAAATATTTAAAGTTTGTGGAAATATTGGAAATATTGTGCAAACCACAATGCAATGTAATCTCTCTTTGTGGAAATATTAAAGTGCAATCCATAATGCAATGTAATCTCTTTTTTTTGGAAATATTAAAGTACAATTCATGATGCAATGTAATCTCTCTTTGTGGAAATATTAAAGTGAAATCCATGATGCAATGTAATCTCTCTTTGTGGAAATATTAAAGTGCAATCCATGATGCAATGTAATATCTCTTTGTGGAAATATTAAAGTGCAATTCATGTTGCAATGTAATCTCTCTTTGTGGAAATATTAAAGTGCAATTCATGATGCAATGTAATCTCTCTTTGTGGAAATATTAAAGTGCAATCCATGATGCAATGTAATCTCTCTTTGTGGAAATATTAAAGTGCAATCCATGATGCAATATAATCTCTCTTTGTGGAAATATTAAAGTGCAATCCATGATGCATTTCGTCAACAACAAAAATTTTAAAAAAAAAGAAAAAAAAAAAGAGTTAAAATCATCTAAAAGGCCTCACTCCACTCACCAAGCTTGTCAAGCTTCCTGCGCCTCTCGCTGTTATACTTCATCTTCTTAGCTCTTGCAAACATCATCTCAACGGTACGAGAGTCTTTAAAACCCCTGTCAAAATAACATTCAACTATATCTTCTGTGAAACCTCACTGAGCAATCATTTGCAGAAGAAAGCTAAACATGTTTTCATATCAAAGTTTTTTTAAACTTTGCTCATGTGTTACCTGGGTTAACTTGGAAAGCTTCTTCTTGATCTTCTTAGCGTTCACCAGTTGTAAACTCCAGCAGAAAATTCTGGTTGTTTGCCCACTTCTGGGCTTTGGTCTTGATCCAGAACTTGAGTTTTGCATGCACATCCATTATACAGATCTGGTTGATGTGTACGCAGACTGTTGGTTCTTTGATTCTCAGGCAGATACTCTGACTGAAGGAAACACACCTAATTAGTGGCCTTATATGACATACATGTATGGGAGCAGTGGGTCTATTCTTCTTCAAAATGGAGTGTCGGATTCACACAAGGAAATCTGGAGGGCAAAAAATGTGAATACTATTACCATTCATGTCTTTCCATTTACCCCCTCTGGGCTGCTACTTGAAGGTTTGACCACCTTGAGGTTACGAAAATTGTGTTTTGGATGGCAAGCCGACAGAGTAAATCTCAGTTACCGTGGTTAAATTCTAAAGCAGTTATAATTGGGGCACCCATACTGGCCATGCCTTCCTAGTGCAGGTAAGGATGTGATCTATAAAACTATTGTCTGTGAAGTAGTAAAATTTTATTAACAATATCCTGTTCAGCCTCTTCCTGTAGTATAATTAGGACATGCAGTTTTATATTTTCTGATACGAGATATTTTGTTTGTCTAATGCTTTGGACGATTTAACTACTGACTACTAAAAGAAGCAAGCCAAGAGAGCTCAAACAGGGACTGAATAATGATGGAATGGGTTCAAATGTTTCTTTTTAAAACATTATACGTGAACTTCAAATTATGATTTAAATTTTCCTATCATTGTATGTTGAAATATAAATTAGCTGAGTACTTAACCCAAATTTTTATAATGCTAAAGTAGACAGATTTACTGTTCATCCCAGAAAATGGGACAAGCAGACATTGTTTCTATTACTGTAATGTAAAATTAAACTTTTACACCGGAAGAGAAAAGAAAGCGAGAAAGACTAAGAGAGACCCTACATAGAACCCTCATCAGAGAAGGATCGACCATGGGCCTAACAATCATCAAGGCCTACAACAGGTGGCAACAAACTGCTAGACATGGAGGGCTATGACCTCTGCCATATGCTCAAGATGACTTACTAACAAAATATATTATTCGAAATACCTAGAGCCAGTTGGTGAATTTCACTGTGGTATTTGAAATACCTAGAGCCAGTTGGTGAATTTCACTGGGGTATTCGAAATACCTAGAGCCAGATGGTGAATTTCACTGGGGTATTTGAAATACCTAGAGCCAGTTGGTGAATTTCACTGTGGTATTTGAAATACCTAGAGCCAGTTGGTGAATTTCACTGTGGTATTCGAAATACCTAGAGCCAGTTGGTGAATTTCACTGGGGTATTCGAAATACCTAGAGCCAGTTGGTGAATTTCACTGGGGTATTTGAAAATAACTTCACTGGGGTATTTGAAAATACCTAGAGCCAGTTGGTGAATTTCACTGGGGTATTTGAAATACCTAGAGCCAGTTGGTGAATTTCACTGGGGTATTTGAAATACCTAGAGCCAGTTGGTGAATTTCACTGGGGTATTTGAAATACCTAGAGCCAGTTGGTGAATTTCACTGGGGTATTTGAAATCAGAAATCAGCATGTCAAATTCAATCAGAAATGATGTATTAAAAGTCTGACACAAATAACTTTTGACAAGTGTTATCTAAAACAGAAATGATGTATTGAAAGTCTGACACAAATAACTTTTGACAAGTGTTATCTAAAACAGACATCAAGCTGACCATTCCTCAGATAGTTCCTCCTTCTTGGATCTGATGCTTCCTCTTGACCCAGTTTCTGCAGTGCTGGCGACAGATAAAGGTGAGGGAGCTGTAGCTGGTGAGGCTGCCCCTAGAGCAAGATTGAGACCTGAAGATTTCACATCTGCAGAAACTGGAGAATTTGTCCAGGCCTGAGAAGGCTGGGCTGGTGGGTGGGGCTGAATGTGGTCCTGATTTCTCGTCTTCTGCTGGTTCAGTTTTACATTGTGGTCGTCTGTTGCTTTTATTTGTCCAGGTAGAGGATGAGAACTGAAACAAATCACCAAAGAAAAACAATATTTAAGGTTAGTTGCGTATCCTTTACAGGACGTTGCAGAACCAACCCCAACAGCCCCTGGCCATTGTATGGTTTTTCTAGGCAAATTTATGTCCAGTAGTTTGCCATTAAACAATACTACAAAAGGAAATAATCACATTGTGCAAATGAAAGCAATTATATTGCCTAATGGTACATAATAAAATGGTCCAACGAAATAGAATCAGATTGTGAGAATCAGTATTATAAATTAAACAAATTAAATCCAATTTCTTAGGGCTGTTTCTGGCTAGTTCCCTTGAGTTACACAATCGTTTAACTTGTGCCCAAACATATTTTTTTTTCCCATCTCCAAGGAATGAACATTAATAATACTAATTCAAGTAACATTCAGTCAAGGCAGCAGATATCCAGTAAAAACACAAGAAGGATTCTTATTATAACATAACATAGCCAGGTCTAACTTAGTCATGCATGTCCAACTTAAATATCCTTTTAGAGCTTTGATCAGCTCCAATAACTTCTTACGAAGCTAGGTAAGTTCTATGTAATCAAAGAAAAACCTTTCTCCTTGACTGGGTCAGCCAGCAGTAATCACTAATGTCCCACAGCTGTTAAGAGAAAAACATGTGAAGGTTTCAAAAAACAAACAAATATATGCAGACTATACCTCTGGGGAACGTGAGGGACATCTGCTGGTCTCCAGCCGAGTTCTAGAAGCTGCACAATACAAAATAATCAACAATAAAGGTTATTGTGAAATCAGCAAATGTGTCAGCAAACAAACAAATTTGTTGAAATAAAATATACACATTAATTTTTCTTTTCTGGAAGAAGTACATCTGTTTAGATGACAGTTTTAGGAGTGTATTAACTTAGTCCACAGACAAATAGCAATCCTAATGCTAGTGTCTCTCAAAAGTCTTAACTAATTCAGCGTAGATATTTAAAAGCCTGTATATAATATTATCCTAATTCAGTTCTATGTCTCTGTGCACTAATATTTGTAACAGAGTTTCTCAAAGCAAAGTAGAGATCACAGTACCCTGGGTAGTGGGTGGGAAGTGGGATAAGTCACTTAAATCAGCATCACGCCGGCTGCCTTTACTTGCCAGGACTGCACCCGGTACCCACTCAAACCTGGGTTGACCTGGGAGCAAAGGTCATTTAAAAAAAAAAAGTCTGGCTCTGCCAGGGAGCGAACCCATGACCTTCCGATCCGCAGGCGAATGTCTAGCCGATCTGCCACGACAACTCCCAAAGAGCAAGATATACCTATACAGTAGAACCTCGCTTAACGAGCACCTCTCATAACGAGTAATTCGCATAAGGAGCAAAACAAATTGTAATAGAATGACTTGCTTAACAAGCAACGTTTCGCATAACGAGTGGTGAGGTGAGGGAAAGTCCCGGATTCTGCGCAGTTACATCAGTCTGTGTTTAGCCCTCTTTCCAGTAGCATCGCAGTGTCGCTTGTGATCACACATTTTCTTAAACTTGTGTTATATTGTGATATATGTACATGAATCCTCCAGGCCTACAAGATGACCTCCCTGAAGATTTTAAGTTCATCAAGATCCATTTTCTGCCTCCCAACACCACTCCGTTACTCCAGCCCATGGACCAGCAAGTTATTTCTAACTTTAAGAAATTCTACACCAAAGCACTCTTTGAGCATTGTTTTCAGGTGACTGACGGGACCAGCTTCACTCTCAAAGAGTTTTGGAAAAATCACTTCCACATCGTTGCCTGCCTCAAGATGATCAACAAGGCGGTGAAAGGGGTTACCAAGAGAACCTTAACTTCTGCTTTGAAGAAGCATTGGCCGGAGAGCGTTGTCGATTTGTGACTTTGAAAGGTTCAAGACAGTACCTGTGGAACCTGTAGTCAACGAGATTGTGTCTTTGGCCATTATCATGGTATTGTAGGTGGATAACAGTGATATCGAAGAGCTTGAAGAAGAGCACAGCAAAGAGCTGACCACCGAAGAGCTTATGGAGTTGAATTGTGTTTCACAGCAAGAGGTTTTGGAGGAAAGTTTGTCAGAGGAGGAAGAGGAGGTAACAGAAAAGCAACAATCTTCTGACGAAATAAGAGAAATGCTGAAAGCTAGGGAAACTGTTGAATTTACATTGAGAAGCATCACCCTAATAAGGAAGTGGTTTGCGCACTGCAAATGTATTTACTGAAAATGCTGTGTTGCCTTTTCGCCAAATTTTGAAGCATCGGCACACACAAAAAATGTCTCCGGACATCTTTCTAGTAAAAAAAAAAACTATTAGCTATGTATTGTAATTTTTTTTGACTTTTTTTTTTCTGCAAATCAAAATTACATTGCAGGTGGGTTCGTTCCACGATGGAAGAAAAGATGAAGAAGATTCACTCTCCTTAACAATATGTATATAATTTTCTTTGAATAAACGTTATACTTAGCATTTTGTATTTTTTCGACATGGAACGCATTATTGTATTTTACATTAATTTATATGAGAAAAATTGTTTCGCATAACGAGTGTTTCGCTTAACGAGTATGATTCTGGAACGAATTATGCTCGTTAAGCGAGATTCCACTGTATTTAAATTATGATCAAATCAGAGGGTTGAAACTGATTAGTTTATGTGCTTCTTTTACATGTCAAAATGTGGAAGCATACAATAATCAATAACTGATCCAAGTTTACCTCATCAAGCTCTTCCATGTCCAAGAAACTGTCAATGTCAAACTCCATGCTGTCTAAGTCCACGTTTCCATCGGGGTCAAGGGCAGATAACTCCAAATCTCTAGATCCACTGAGAAATCACAAATGTGATAAAATAACATGCATGGTTGAACATATTTGTTTCGTCAACAATCATCTGAACATACTTTTTAATTTTTTCACCACCAGCAGACTCAACAGCAACATATTTTTGTGCCGTTGTACATAACTCAGAGCTTGAGCAAAATTCTTTTCACAAAATTTGTAAAAGATATGCAAGTAAATGCTTTTTGTTTTGTTTTGGTTAAATTGTTGAAAAATATCTGATTGAAAAAGAGTTAGCATTAATTGTATGTACATTATGTCTTAGTATTTAGTGTTAAGTAAAATATTTTGGATTGAAGAAATATATGTACAGAACAGAAGGGTTGAGAACATTTGCTAAGAAACAGTGGGTGAAGTTAACCAGCTGGTCAAAAGAGGGAAAATGAAACAAATGAGGAATAGGGGCTGCTAATAAATGTTGCATCACTTTGTAAGAAATGAGCTGAAAAAGCCAAATATTTAAGGTTTAAAAAAAAGTAAAAGGAAAAAGTAAACAGTTTATAAAATAGGAATATTTAACTATGAGTGGGAATGATGCAATTAAAACTAGCTGTGTGCCTTATGGGGAACTGGCTGTGTGCCTTATGTAATAATGCGCTTGAACATGCTTATTTATCATGACTGCTGCTTTCAACTATGAATAGTTAAACAACAACAACAAAAATACTAGACATGGGGCCTCAGGCTCAAGATGCCCTATGTCCTACAGCCTCCTAAAAAACTGGTAATTACATAAAGTACAACGTCTAAATAGGAAGCAGAATGTAGACAATAAATGAAGTAAGAATATCAGGCTGTCAGTTTGGAGTTCTTACTTCACAGCTTATGGGTCACTCCATAACTGCTCTCTTCCTAAGCCACTGAAAAACCACACAAAGTTCACTTCATTGTCTTACATGAAAAGTCAGACAGACACACCGCTTTCTTACATAAAAAGTCAGACAGACACACCGCTTTCTTACATGAAAAGTCAGACAGACACACCACTTTCTTACATAAAAAGTCACACAGACAGTATTCTTAGTAAAATTCAACAGCGTGCAAACACATCAAATGCATAAACTTAACAGTCTGTGACTAGAACTGCCATTCATATTTAATGGCAATAGTCACAACAAACGAGTAGGGGCACATGTATTATTGCATAAGGCACACTGCCAATTCAGTGACAGCCAGCAACTGACTATTATCTGAATATGCAGTTTACAACATCACCTTTGGAAGCAAGCACAGACAATAAATATTCTCCATGACATGAAATAAGAATATTTGACAATGGAAATATTTAGTGTACTGTAAAATTTGAAATATTTAATAAAAATAATTTTTTTTTTAAAAAATGGAAAGAGTATTCAACTTTTAAAGAGAATGACTTACATGCCACTTGTATCCTGCTTGAATAACTGCCCTCCAACAATGTTAGCTTTCACTCCTGACAAAAATTTATTGCCCTCTCCATTCATAGACTGGAGTGTGCTAACACTGTTCTGTGTCTCACCATTGGCCAGGACTTTGGTGGTTGTAGACTGAGCTTGTAAAGCAATTTCAAACTTGTCCTTTCCACTCAAGTACTGTCCAAAGTGGCCACTGTCAGGAAGTTTGACATTGGCTGCTTTTGCTTTTACTGTTAAATGATTGTCTTGCATTGAATTCTCCAGATTTTGCTTACCAGCCAATGGAAATCTGTTTATCCTTTCAATGGGGGAGCCATTAGAAGACGAACGGTAGCTGTTTTTATTACAATTATTATTTCTGTCACTATTATTTGTTTCAGACAAACTAATATTAACTTCTGCAGACTGTCTAGCTGTCTTGTTTCCATCGGTAGCATATAATCTTGATTTCATGTGAGTTGTTTTACTTTGATCTTGTCTAGTTGTTGTGTCTGTATTGTTTGATATATCACAATCAGGTTGCATGGTCACATTGGTAACATTTGAATCCCGATCCATTACTGCACTAGAAATATCACTTTTTACTACCACAGAATTTGAATTTTTGATAACTGCACTCTGGTTATCAGACACATAGTTTTCTTTGTCAGGTATGGCAACAGATTTAACCATGTATGTATCAGAAACACTCTTGTCTGATGTTTTATAACTTTCAGAAACATAAAATGTATGCTTTCTGTCTGCCATAGACGCTAACTCTGGTTTACTGTCAGTTATTGCACAAAACTTGGCTTTTCCATTCATGGCAAACATGGAGGAATGGTTAATATCACGTGTAGTACTTGTATCACCGTATTCATGAGCAGATCTGTGTTCTGAGGCCATCTTGAATGATGTGTCACAAAAAGTGAAGCAGGTGGAGCACAAGGTCTCAGCTGTCACATGCTGGTTAACCAACAACACTCTGAAAATATTCAATATTAACTTTCATTTATATTTTAAATATCTACCAAAAAAACAACTGTATCTAACTACAACAAAATATAATTGCACACATCTTATCTATAGTCCACTATAACAAAAAAAATATATAGACATTCACCAATTATAGATTCACCCTGACCAATATTTGTATAGACCAGCTGGCCTTCGATGGGTGATGTGGTCAACATCAATCATGCTGGCCACCTTTACTTCCCAGGACTCTTCCTGGTACATATTTAAGGTTGGATCAACCTGGAACCAAGGTTATTTTTGGAAAAATTCTGGCTTTATGTGGATTTGAATATTCTAGGAAGTAAATTACTTACATGAATATGGAAGACAAGGGGAAACCACCACATTAATTTGTCAAGGAAGAATTTATGTGAAGGGACAAAGCTGGGTTGATACTGGCGGGACATGCTAAAAAATCAATATTAATCTCAATCACCTGAGACATGACAATCTCACAGTGCTTTTCAGACTGATCACTTTGTGACCACCAACACTAGACTAACAAATGTTATTTGATGGCATCATGGCATGGAAGAAAAGTTGTATCAGAAATTATTGACACTAAGTGAGGCAGAAAGGTCTCCTTGGCCGGGTGGTTGAGCCATTTGCCTCGCACTCTAAAGGTCATGAGTTAACAGAGGTACCTGGGAATCACCGCTAAAGCTACAGAGTTTGTGCTTTGTGTAATGCTCTTATCAGGTGACTAACCACTCTTTGAAGACAGACACAGCCACATGTGATCAAAACCAGTTTAATAAAGTCGATACTTTTGACTTTACGTTCTTCTTCTTCACGTTCGAAAGCTGTAAACTCCAGCGGAAAGTTCTGGTTCTTCATCCATCGGGACTTTTAGTCTTTTTCCAAAATCTGAGTGTTGTGTGCACAACTATTTTACAGATCTGACATATCTGTATGCAGACTGTTGGTTCCTTGCCTTTCAGGCAGATGGACTCCAACTTTGAAGGATGCACTCAATTTGTCAACTCCTACGACATGCTTGTTGGGGGGGGGGCAGTAGGTCTATTCTTGTTCTCCCCACAAAAGAACCCAAGAACCCACATAGGAACTTTAAGTTTAACCTTTAACAATAAAAGAGATAGAGGCATATGGAGAAAAATTATGTTAGATGGTCTAAGATGATGGTATTAGAGATAATCATCAATAGAAATTATCATAAATACCAAGGACTAAAAAACAAAATTCAGAGACATGATGCCTCTGCCATAAGACAGGTGTATAATGATGATGATGATGATGAATAGCAGAGTCAAGTCACAGATTGATGTTTTACTTCATCTGAGTGATTAAACTGGTCTTTTAATGCAGCGTGTAGGCTAGCTTGAGCCAAGCACATCTGAATGACATCATCACACAAGTTAGCTCTGCTACCCAGGGCAGACTCTGCTGCTTGTGGCTGGACTGAGACAGTATCTAAGGACTTGAGGGATGGTACAGCTTTGCTGACAAGTTGCCTAGAAACAAGGACAAAAAAACAACGCAGGCATGATAAATCTGTATTTACTTTATCTAACATGATTATCAAACTTCAAAGTACTGGCTAGCTTAAATCAATAATAGTTCCACTCATTAACATGAAATCATTAGTTCATATAGATTTCAAATCCTTAACATGAAATCATTGGTTCATATAAGTTCTAATCATTAATATGAAATCATTATTTCATATTATAAAATGTACTGGTTTGGTTAATGCAGATGTGCTGAACCACATGTGACTGTGGAGGACCAGAGCTAGGTCACAGACTGGCCAAGGTTGCTGAACCACATGTGACTGTGGAGGACCAGGGCTAGGTCACAGACTGGCCAAGGTTGCTGAACCACATGTGACTGTGGAGGACCAGAACTAGGTCACAGACTGGCCAAGGTTGCTGAACCACATGTGACTGTGGAGGACCAGGACTAGGTCACAGACTGGTCAAGGTTGCTGAACCACATGTGACTGTGGAGGACCAGGACTAGGTCACAGACTGGCCAAGGTTGCTGAACCACATGTGACTGTGGAGGACCAGGACTAGGTCACAGACTGGCAGAGGTTGCTGAACCACATGTGACTGTGGAGGACCAGGACTAGGTCACAAACTGGTCAAGGTATGTCTACACTTCTCAGTGGTCATCCTAGAAACCAGTTTCCATCCAGGGCCTTAGCCAGCTAGATAAGAATGGATGTTTCCTTCAGAGTGCAGGTGCCTGCGAGGTGAAGAACCAACAGTCTGCACATAAATAAGCCAGCTCCATAAAATGGATAGACATGCAACACTCAAGTTCTGAAACAAGAAGTTTAGAAGTGGACAACAAACAGGTCTTTCCTCCAGAGTTCAGAGCCATCAAACATGGAGGGGGAAAAAAAGAAGAGTGACAGATACAAATACTTACTGATATTCTTGTGTGCATGCATCCACTAAAGGATTACCTTCCAACAGCAGTGTTTCCAGCCGTTTACTCTGTGCTATGCCAGGCAGTAGGTTTTCCATTTCTGTGTGGTTTGTTAAATAAAGTGTTACAAAAACTAGTGCACTAGTCCACTAATACATTTATCAAAACACATTTGTTACAACTTGGTGTTTGTAAACCAGAAGAATGTAATAGTTTAGAAAAGCAGAACTCATTTGTTACAACATGATGTTTGTAAATAGAACAACGTAATAACAGAACACATTTGTTACAACATGGTGTTTGTAAATAGAACAATGTAATAACAGTTTAGAAAAACATTTCAACTTTTTTTCAATCCCTAATAATGCATGCCATGTTATTGACTATTCCCCTCATGTCTCAAACATCACATCAAGTGTCTTCTTATATTTAAGTTTTGGTCAGTGTATACTAAATAAATCTGGCAACCACAGGGGCAGCTTTAATTCAGTGTTCATTCCTACAACACAGCAAGTGTTTACAGTTTTGAGGCAATTTTTTATGGGGGGGGGGGGGGGGGGAAATGATTTTTCTGCAAAATCGTATGCGGCCGAAAGAGTTAATGCATAGGTAGCCTTATAACAGATACTGTTTTAAGGGTAGGGGGTGATATGTCAGGTAAGCAAAGGACTATTTTCCCACCATTGGCACTTCAAGCAATTAGCGCTATACCTATAATGTTACAGACCCAGTTGGCACTTGACAGGTGATGTAGTAAATAAAATACCATCCACCTTTACTACTCAATACATTACCTGGTTCCCATTTTAGGTTGGATCGACCTGAAAGCCAAGGTCACATTTGGAAAAAAATCCATCTTCATTTAGATCTGAATCCTAGAAATTTGGGCCAGCTTGCATGCATCCAACCTCTGAGCCATTGGGGTCCCCGATGATGTGTCATATATTCTAGGCAAAGCATAATGATATGAGGTGGCCACTTTCCTGCTTTGCCACCCTTTAACATGCAAAACCCGGATAGCCCAAAAAACACTTTGAAAGCACGCAATTTTTATGCATAATATTTCCATGTAAACGCTTTCAGGCAAAACCTTTGGCCAAAAGAGACACTTGTGGAAGTCAAACTTTACGGGCCGCTTAGTGAATTACAAAAGACAGTGAAATTCATACTAGAGACAGCTTTGCAGATATAGACAATTTATTTCATGCGAACGAAAGAAGAAGATTTCCATGTATGACACATAGTAATAGTATGGGTCAATAAGTAGACACACACGATGTGTCGGAAGAAACTATTCGCATTTCAGTTGGATTTATTCAGTTTTGTGCTTCATTTTATGTTGATGTAACTCTGTAGTAATGCACCTGACAAAATAAGGAGACTTCCCATGTTGGTTCAGGGAGCCAATTTTAGGAAGAATAAGAATATACCCAATACTTCTTCAACAAGCATGTTGTAAAAGTCAACTAATTAGGGGCTTTCTTCAAAGTTGCATTACATCTGCCAGAGAGGCAAGGGACCAACAGTCTGCCTTCAAATAACCAGATCTGTAGAAATGAATGTGCATGCCACATTTAGGTTCTGGGACAAGACTAAAGTTAGAAGGTAGATGAACAGCCAGAACTTTTTGCCAGTATTTACAGCTATTGGATGTAAAGAAGACAAATAAAGAGGGAGGGAGAGAACAAAAGTGGCTGTGAGAGCAGATAAAGGAGACAAAGACAAAGAAACAGAGGGAGGGGGAAAGGATGTGAGAGAGCAAGGATGCATGCTGATCTACTGACTGCAATATTTTCCACTAGAGATCCATTTAGTGATATGTGCAATCCCATTGACAGAGGCAATAAAATTGTATTTATACTGTTTACAAAGGTATCATACTTCCCCAAGTATAAGACACACTTATTTTCCATAAATATAGGGTTAACAAAATAGTGTTTATCCTATACAATAGTAGTAGATTTTTCCAAAAACATAAAGAACAGAAAATGAATGATACCTGTAATTTGGTTGTGACTAACATCCAGGTATGACAGCAAGATTAAACCACTGATGCCAGAAACACTTTCAAGCCTGCAGTGACGAGAGACAAAACAACCAATTGTGTAACAATATACTTTCCTTTATGTGGGTTCTGGAGCCATAATTGGGGGCGCAATGATGGGAATTCCCAGGGAACTCCAGAGAGTTTCCCAATTCAGAGGACAAGGTCAGAGGGCCCGGAAAACAACTGGACATGTGGAAAAGGCATGTTTAGAATACCATGTGTTCTGTGAATGGTGGTAGGTGGAAAAACGTGTGATTTGAACAAATGTTTTGAACGGAGAGATGATGCAGAGTCAGTTGTGTTTTGACTATGTGAAAGGCACGTTGCCTGATGGTGTGACTGAGATGAACGTCAATTGTGAACTGAAGGAACACAGCTTTTGAAAGCTAGAAATGTCTGAAGAGAACTGGTTCTGAATTGCAACGTCTAGTGTCTGTAAAAATTTATGTTACTGTGATCCAGATGACAAAACCCGAGTGAGTGGAACATTCCAACTGGCAGTTAATGGTACCTATTGTCTAGTTGTCATCCTGTCGTGGCAGTCAGTCGTGAGCAAGTGTCAACAACCAGGGAGAACTTAGGACATCGAGTGAAAGACTTATTTGTTGTACCACAATAAACTGTGTTCACATTATTGTCATGTTTCAACTATACTATTATGTGTCCAGACTTTACAGCATAATTGAGGCATGTATAAAGTCGAGATAATAGCTTGAGCCAGAGAACAACTTTATCACAGATGGAAAGAAAAAAAACAGACCCACTGACCACTAACAAGATTATTATAAATGGTGATTGATCAAGGATTTACTCAAATCAGACATGTTGGGCTGAAAGACACATATATCACAGCCTAGCTGTAAACCATAATATAATATGCCAACCGCACTTATAAGTGTGGAAAAAGCATACAAAGATGAAGAATTGAGATGCTTTCTTTACTTTACTTTATAAATTAGGTAATCTTTGTCAGAGAAAAGTTAGCCATTCTTTATCAAAGATTAGACATATAATAAAATTCATTTTAAAAAAAGCTGGCATACAGTTTTTAGAGTTAGCTTTAATTCTTTGTCAGTATTAATCTATTCTCTAGGATGACTGTGCACCAAAGAGTCTTGCAATGCAGCATAACAAGTTTTATATTTATATAAACCACTGTGTGAGTTCCAGAGCTCCATTGCGGGGAAAACAAGAATATACCCAAGGCCTCCACAACAAGCATGTCGTAAGAGTAGACTAATTGGAGGTTTCCTTCACAGTCAGAGTACATCTGCCTGAGAGGCAAGGAACCAGAAGTCTGCATAAAGTCAGACCTGTCAAAAAGATGCGCATGCAACACTCAGGTTCTGAAACAAGTCTAAAGTCTAGAGGTGAATGAACAACTAGAACTTTTTGCCAGTGTGAAGAAGAAGTTTAGATAAATACGTATGGAAGTTATATGTTTCATGGTTCCAGGTTTTATCCACATGGATCCAACTCTCTTCACAGAGAGATCATCAACATCATATAGAACACAAACACATAGCTTCACCCATCTCCAAGAAACATGCATGTGTGAAATTAACAATGCATTCTGAAATGGAATCCATAATCGTCAAAATCTAAGGCTAATGGCTTGATCCTTTTACCACACAGAGCTAAAGAAATTGCATGGAGAAAAATACAGTAACAAGAAAAAGGAAAAACACTTTATGAAACATGTCATGGCATCAACATTCTCACATGTTCTGACTGCAGTTGAGTGAATGCAAAAGGGGTAACCAGTATTGGCTGAGGGGCTCCAGAGATCTGATGCTGTTTTCTTGTAGGTTCAATGTCTGTAACAGTACCTGGTTTTGTAGTTCAGGCACCTGTAACAGATAAGAAGCTATTTGAAAAATGAGTGAACTATATAATGATCCAGAGATAAACTTGTTTAATCATCCTCCTCAATCAGCAGGTTCTTTACAGAACATCACTCTCATCACAATGCGCCCGATAGTCTCTCTCTTTTTCTAGCCAATTCTCCAGCCCCAGGTACTTTCAAGGCAATGCATCTTCAGTCTTGTATCCACTTTCATGAAGGTCAGCCTATGCCTCATTTTCTGGAAACTGTAACCTCCATGATCATTTGCTCCAGACCACTATGACACTTAAACATGGCTGAAACACCTTAGCTTTTGGACAGGAATGCTGTTTATGAGCCAATTCTCCTTTGTGCTCAGATCATGAAGGATGTTTATGAGCCAATTCTCCTTTGTGCTCAGATCATGAAGGATGTTTATGAGCCAATTCTCCTTTGTGCTCAGATCATGAAGGATGTTTATGAGCCAATTCTCTGTTATGCTCAGATCATGAAGAATGTTGGTATTTTTTTTCTTTTTCTTGGTCTTATTTAACCATTAGATAAAAACAGTTAGAAATCTTCAGCTTTGTCAAGAACATGCATGGTTGTTACATGTTAAACACCAAATCTTCAAGAACTTTTTCGATTCATTCATCTAGGTCTATGCATACTGACATCTACTTTATAGAATTTATTGATCTAGATATTTTCAAGCAGGCATCTAAATTAAAAAAGTTTTAAGTTTGCCTAACCTAGGTTTATCTAAGCAGAAATCTAACTTTTATAAATGTATAGAATTATGTAGTCTTGATCTATCCATTCAGACGTATAATATTAAAAAATTTATAAACTTGACTCATCTAGGTTTATCTATGCAGACAATTAATCTTTATACATTTGTAAAATTCTTTTGTCTTGATCTATCCATGCAGATATCTAGCTTCAGAAATGTATAATATGGTCTGATTGATAATAAGAAGTCTGTGACAATAAAAGGCTCACTTGGGAATGCATGTGAGAACTATTCAAAGACTTTTTTAAAGTGAATTTTGAGTATATGCATGCACTCAAATCCATATCAAAGTATTGTTTTATGAACTGACCTAAGTCAAGGTAACCTTGGGATTTTCTGGAAATATGCCTGATGTGCTTTTTATTTTACTTAAAACTCCAAATCCAAAGCTATAAATCATCTTTACTGTGCAGGTAATATAACAAATCATCTTAAAAAAACAAAAACAAAACGTTGACCAATCCTACAATCCTGATATGGTCTAACTTCTGCATCTACAAACCTGACGAAGATTATTGCATGCCAAGATGAGGTCACTCAAGAGGCAGAGCTTGCTGATGTTGGCAACTCTCTGCAAGTAGTTGTGGGAGAGGTCTAGATGCTGCACAGTGATGGCGTCTTCCAACCCATCACTGCTGACTAACTGGTTGTGAGACAGGTTCAAAGTGTGTACACGTCTGAGTGAACCAAGTCCAGCTAATGTTGAAACACAAGAAGTAGGACATTTTATGGTTCCATAATATCATAAAAGAAAAAAAAAAAAGTTTCTTTATCTTCATCTATTATCTTTGTTTTCATCTTCTTCTTCTGCAGCAGCTGCTGCATCTTCTTCTTTTTTTCATTTAATTGTCGTTTTCTTCTTCTTCTCCTTCTTCACATTTCCCACCTCAATCTTCTTATGCTAATTCTTCTGCTTCTCTTAGTCCTCTTCTGTCTCAGCACCTAACAGAGCATAAACTTTCAGTTAACCTTTGTTTCAAGATAAGTTGGATTTTGCAACCAAAGTTTTCGATGGGATGAAGCAGCTAGTCAGATGCTATGCCTCTTTAGTTGAATCTTACAATATGCATGGAGTTAGTGTCACTACTATTTTGCTTTCTGTATAGGTCCCAGTAACATGTAGCCATGTACAGCTAGCTGGTCAAGTAGTGAAAAATAAATTATGTGGAAGCAGCAGAGATCTGTTTTTATAGACAAATGATGAGAATACCCTGGACAGATAAAAATAGGAATGAAGATGTCATGGGAGAAACTGACTCACAAAGAGAACTGACTGCTCACATCAGAAGGAGACAATCTACATTCTTTGGTATTACATGAGAAGAAGAAGACGGGAGCACATCATGACAGAGGAAAAGTTGGAGAGGAAAAGAGGTAAATGGAGACTGAGATAGAAGATGCTGGATGGTTTGATATAATGGCATGGAAGATATCTGTGTCAGAACAGATTTAAAGCACATGAGACAGAAGATTGTAGACAGACATAATTACTGATGACACACGGCATGGTCTATAAGAAGAACACAGAGTTGACATTGTATCTGACTTAAGTAGCCTCATTTTCAGTTTCCATAACACTTGTTTGGTGATAAGTTTATGATTCACACTGTTTAATTTTCATATTGTGCGTGCATGCATGCATATACACATTCAGCGCGAACATACTCACACACACACACATTAAATGACCATGCTGTGAACAACTGACACACATTATACCAACTGGTTTGGTCTGGTTTGAACAAGGGATCAACGTCATGGCACAAGAGTAGTAACCCATAAGTGCTCCGTTCTACTTCTAACTCAAGCCTCAGTCCCCAGTGCATGAACTCCATAGCATTGGCGAGGTGGAATAATGACTCATGTAAATTTAAGGCACTATCAGTTATTCTGTTAATCTTTTGGGGTCTGTGAAAACATCATCATCAAAAGCCATCAGGAAATGGGAGGTCCGTTAATTTGAGCCCTTGCTCGACCTATACCTGAGCAATCCATTATAGCATTAATGGAAAAGGAAATAGACAATAGTATGGCACATGATAAAGATAATATGTGAGAGAATTCCCTCTTACTGCAGACATAACAATGATCAATGTCAGGGTTACTCTTGGTAGCACTTGATTTTACTAAATAAAGACTTCAACCCTAAGCTGAGTGATGGTTCAAATTAGTAGGTACTGTATTCCGTGATGGCTCCTGATGATGATAGTGGATTGCTCTGACAAAGGTAAAGTAAGGGATCAAATTATTGGGCATCCAATTTCCTGATGGCTCTTGATGATGATATTTGCACAGACCCCACAGGATTACCAGAATAACTGATAATGGCTCAAATTAATATGAGACATGATTCCAGGTTTCCACAGTCCAGCATGAGCTGGCAAAACGTTGTTGAAACTTTTTCCTGAGCCAATATCTTTAGAACAAGAACTCTGAAAAATATCCAGCAGATCAGACATGGCTGGCCAGTCTGAGAGTAATGCCTGCTGATGCTAGTCATCAAGAAAAAAAACTTACATATTCTGGTGATTCGATTATGGCTGAGGTCAAGTGATCTTAAGTTGATGCAACCGTCCAGGCCATGGATTAGACTGAGGCTGTTGTGTGCCAGCCTCACCACCTGCAGATTTCCCAGATCTTTCAGGTCCATGTACTCAATTTTGTTGTGCTGTGTATAAGAATATTAGATAATCCTGTGAATATTTTGGCCAAGATCACAAATGAGGAACTAAGAAGGAAAAACAAAACGTTCATCACTGGCACATGTTATCAAAGGAAGAAAATGGAGATGACTTGGACATACTTGCAAAATGCCTTACGATGCTCTGGCTTTACTACCACTACAACAAATACAACAAGATGTAAACAAGAACAAGATGAGAGATGACATCAGAGAAATTCTATAGCACTATAATGTGTCTATGGTCGAAGCAGCCAGAAGAGCAAGAAGCAGGACCTTATATATCCATCGACACCCAAAGTTGTAAAAAAAAGACGTAAATAAAAAGAGGAAGAAGATACTTTGGCGATCACAGCTCATAAGTGGATGCTAGATGGAGAAAAGAGACAAGAATGTCCTAAAAAATTCTGGATAAAAACAGTAGGATAGGACATGAGCGAGTGTAAACTTGTACGAAATATCACGGGCACAAAAGCAGAGACCAACAATGTAGATCACTTGTGAATGCCTTAAGTGTAGTCAATGACATGAAGAGGATATATAAGGTTTTAAAATAAAAATAAACAATAAACGCTAAGTTGTGCTATGGTTGTTTTTTTGTTTTTGTTGTTGTTGACAGGAGAACCTGTGTGCCTAAAACTATTGGTTAGTCACATGCAAAGGTATGGTCAAATGATTAGTTGAACTTTAAGGTATTCTTGTGTGCAATTTGAACAGTTTAACTAATTAAATTACAAAGATTCTGAATGTGAAAATGATGAAAAAAAATTATGTTCCTTTCAGTAGCATTGTGTTTTTTTTTTTTCTTCTAAATAGTATCTTTTTCTTCTTAAAGTGCATGTCGTGTGGCACTGTTAGTCATGCTATCTACAACCTTCTGTCTCCTGTGCTATTAATCAACTCTGACACAGATGATCCTCCATACCATGATTTCAAACTGTCCAGCATCTGTTCTCTCAGTCTCCCTCTGCATCTCTTTCCCTCTAACATTTCTATTGTCATGATGTACTCTAGTTTTCACCTTCTCATCACATGACTGAAAAATGTCGATTGTCTCTTTCTGATGTGGGCAATCAGTTCTCTTCGAGAGTCAGTTTCTTTCAAGACATCCTCATTGCTCTTTTAATCTGTCCAGGGTATTCTCATCATCCATACCTCCATAGCTTCTAAGTAATTCTCCACTAATCTAATAACTGTCCATGATTCACTTCAGTATATCATTATAGGTTTTGATATAGCTTTAAGAATTCTCTCTCTCATCTCAAGTAACAAAGAAAGATTGCATAAAACATTCTTCATTTTGTAAAATGCTGCCTTTTTTAATAGTATAGATAGACATAATAACATTAGTGACTGAAGTACAAAGTAAACATAAAACTGAGATACAGATTCCTGTAGGGAGTGTAAATGGACAAGGACTCTTTACAGACTAGGTGTGGAATTATGATGTTATGGGGATCAGTTTTTCTTCTTTGTCACCTTTAACCTTCACAGAGAAATCTGTAACTGTGTGGTGCAGGGCTGATCCAAGAACAATACAAGACAATATTCAAAGACAAGCTTCTGCTCATTTGGTTTATCCTTCGTATATGATACAAGTCCCATATTGTCAGCACTCAGTTGGTGTTGCGATCAATATCACGCCGGCCATTTTTACTTTCCACAATACTTCCTGGTTCCTATTTTTAAGCAACTTCCAGCAGCCATTTTCTGATGTAAAACTCAACAGAGGGCAACTTAAGACTACTGTCTTAATAAATTAGAGCACTATTCTCTGCACTGTCTCCTCCTCCTCCAATACCACCTTCCTATTAAAATGTATCCTATGTCAGCTGGGTTAAGTAACACTACGATTTCTCAGGCTGAAATTGAATAAATGTTAGTCCACAATTTGAATTCACCTCAGCATTTATATAGAGCAAATGTTTGCACTGGTCAAGTCCTTCAAGACACATCAATCCACATTTTGTGACCGTCAGATATCGCAATGACCAGCACTGACCAAGAGTGGACAGTGAACATTCAGGCAGATTGGTCAAAGTAACTGATGTAACCTGGAGAGAGAAAACAATTGTGTTTGAATCCTGAAATAAAAGCAAAATAAAAATAAGATGCTATGTTGAGTTTGTATTTAACAAAGGAGTTGTAGCAAAAAGTGTTGCATCCATAGAAATGAGTGGAGGCAGGTGATATCTGCAGTAATGAACCTTAAGGGCTCAGAATGCTGAAAAATAAGTAGAATCATTATCACAGTTCTCGTTCATTGTCCTTGCCACTAATTAAAAAAAATGTTAACAGTTTTATTTTCTGACCTTTTTTGTCACTACTGTGAAATTTGACAAAAGCAATAACTTTTTCCTAAATAACACAGCACATTATTAGAAAACATAACGACAAGCACAATGAAATAAGAGTTTTACGACGTGTGAACAGGCGGAGCTAAGACAATACCGAGATTAGGTGGCTGTGCTTAACACTCTGGTGCCAAATTTGTGCCTAGAACACCCTACCTACTTTGCAACAATGTAGTTCTGAAATTATATAGCCACTACATAAGTTATAATTTTGATTCTTAGCCCAGACTTGACCACAGGTTATACTTCTGTCAGGTGTTCTTATACAACTGTCCATACAGCTGAATAGAGTTTCTGGGATTTGTACTGGTGTGATTTTCATCCTGGAGATGTTCATTCCACATACTGCAATCGTGGAAGAGAAAAAACTTACCTACCCTACCATGCGACATGATTATGCATAAAGTGCTGGTTACAGTTAAGGGGTTAAGGGTCTACGGCTGATAACAGGCAAGTCATGGATGGCTTAGGTAGAGGATACGATCAGACAGGTTTGAAATGAACAGACGGACAGGACTGGCTGGCTCTGCACAACCTGTTGGATTAGTGATACATGATAAGGCAGACGTGGTTAAGGCCTTATGGGAGTACATGTACAATTCAGAACAGAAAATTGGTCATGACAGTCTGGCATGAGTGATGCAGCGAGGAATGATGACGGG